TATGAGGTGTCGAAGGGATCAGGTATCAGGCATCAAAGACCCAAAACAAATAATCATATCAATGTGAAAGGGGGGAGGGCAGAGTGGAGACCCAAGCCCATCTGAAGACAATTGGACATCCCCTCACAGAAGGGTCACAAGGAAGAAACCAGCCAGTCAGGGTGCAGTAGAGAACTAAGAAAACAAACCTTTCCTCTAGTTCGTTAATACTTCCTTCCCCCTTTCCCCACTGTGACCCCAATTCTACCTTACAGATCCAGCTAGATTAGAGCTTGTACACTGGTACAAAAAAATAGACCACAACACAGGGAATCCAGGACAGATAAACCCCTCAGGACCAATAATGAGAGTAGTGATACCAGGAGGGAAAGGGGAAGGTGTGTGTGTGGGGACCCATCACAATGATAGACATATAACACGCCCCCACAGGGGGACGGACAACAGGAAAGTGGGTGAAGGGAGACAGTGGTTGGTGTAAGACATGAAGAACATAATAATTTGTAAACTATCAAGGGATCGTGAAGGAGGAAGGGGGTGGATAAGCTGATACCACCGGTTCAAGTAGAAAGAAAATGTTTTGAAAAGGATGATGGCAACAAATGTACAAATGTGCTTGACACGATGGATGGATGGATGGATGGAATGTGATAAGAGCTGTAAGAGCCCCCAATACAGTGATTTTTTTTTTAAAGAAAGAACAAAGCCATCTATTTATGGCCACAGACTGAGAATAACTAACATGAGAAGATAAGGGGGTGGGAGAACCAGAACCCTAAAAAAGGAAGTTCCAGGAGATGATGAAACAGAATCGTAACACATGTGACAAAGGCAACGAAGTTCACCAGACAATGTGTTTAGAAATAGCCCAATGGGAACTAATTAGCGGTGCCAATATTCATGGAAAAAAAACAAACCCAAAACTAGCAATATATATATAATGTTTTGGAAACTGCAGAAGATCGTGGCAGAGCGTTTAATTTTCTGATCAATGCAGCTCAGTGAACACTGGGGAGCCATCCCGCCCCTGACCTCCTCCCTGGTCCATCCTCAAGGCCCACTGCTGATGAGGAAACCCTGATGCAGTATCTCCCACCAAGAGCTTCTCACTGAGAGCAGGACTCACAATGACCACTCCAATCCTGTCCCAGGGATACTAGCTGGACACCCACACCTGAGTGCAGAAAATGCTCATCACCACCTCTGCACAGAAATGTCCCACAGACTGAGGGGTCTTGAGGGCTGGAATCCCTCTATGTGACCTGATGGTTCCAGTGGCTCAATGCAGACTAGAAGGACCAGGTCAATCATCACAACAGCTCCGTGGGAGAAAATACCTGGAGGGTTGCTTCTGCAAACCTAATTTTGGGTCCCTCTAATCAGTCCTAAAGGGCTTGTGTGAGTTGGAATGGACTCCACAGAAAGAGGTTGGTACGTGACCCATGAGGTCACTGGATTGCACACTCATTTGTTTGTACGGGAGTTCTAAGCTAGAGGTTGGTAGTTCAAATCTACTCAGCAGCACCATAAAAGAGTGACCCAGGGGATGCAAGACCCATCTGTAGGCAACTGGACATCCCCTTACAGAAGGGTCACGGGGAGGAAACGAGCCAGTCAGGGGGAAGTGTATCAATGATGAAACATACAACTTTCCTCTAGTTCCTAAATGCTTCCTTCCCCCACACCCACTCCCCCCACTATCATAATCCCAATTCTACCTTACAAATCTGGCTAGACCAGAGGATGTACACTGGTACAGATAGGAACTGGAAACACAGGGAATCC